TGAATATTCATGAAACACTCAGCCTCAATGGTAATATTGGTAATACCCAAAGAAAGACAACTATTTAACCCATAAAGAATAGAGTTCAAGATAGCCAAACGAGGATTATCTGAAGAAGGCCCCGCAAAACCGAGAATCAGCTTACCATGGCCATCTTTAGTAATGCCACCACATCCCATGATATTGTTTTCACCTCAATACATATGTTAAGTTTGAAAGAGCCCACCCTCGGTTTAAGCTAAAACACCAGATGAGGATTGGAATAAATGGAAAATTATTGGAGCTTGAGACCAAGGCCAATAACAACATGGTAACATTGATAAAAGCCTTTCATGGAAATTAAATTAATAGAAGCCAAGCTGAATAATTTGTCTTTCACATTATGAATAACCCTGGAAGCCTCCATTTTAATGCCATTAAACACAACATTATTTCTTTCCAACCAAAGGTACCAAAGGATAAGAGAAGAGGTGACATTTCTAATATGGCCTTTATAATTCACAACCAAACCTGAAGAAGCTCATAAATGGACATATTCCCCTTAAATTTATTAAACTTAAACATATCATCGAAGAAACACCAAGTTTTAACTGCAATCGGCCCAGACACAAACACATGATGCATGCTTTCAACATGGAAACAACATTGGCATTTAGAAGGAATGACCATAGGAATAAATCTGTTTAAAATTCTCCAAACAAAGGTAGACACTATCGAGGGGATACTTTTATGCCAAATCCTAGAATAAATGTAATTAACCTATTTTTAATTCTAAAATTATGCCACACATCTTTTAATCTAAAAAGACCATCATTAGCTAATTTAAATAAGATGACATCTTTAGAATCAATGTTTATATGGGAATAGGGAGGATAATCTGAATAACGCAATCAGGGACCACCTCGGCAAGCTTATTTATATCGCAACCGTTATCGGTGATAAATTGATTAACCTTAACATTCGCATTGGAAGTGGAATTAATAAGTGAATCAATAGAAACAAAATTTATCCATTGATCCTGCCAGAAAAAAATGTTACGACATCCAAGCCCCCAAGAAATAAGGAGCTTCATGTTGAGTCTAATAAATAGGTTGTTAAACCTAAGTTAATGTCCCAAGGCTACCAAGAGGGGGGGTGAATTGGTAGTTCAAAATTTTTAAACCCTCTTTATGTTGAACCGAAATGAAAATTTTCTTTTAAGTTTTTTTAGAAAATGTTTTTCAACCACAGAGTTTTTTAAATCAAAAATAAAATGCGGAAAAGTA